CAGTAAGCGAGGGGCAAGAGAATCCGTAACTTTGCTTTAAACTAGGAACGATTTCAGCTTTACTTCACTTCTCACTCCCGCTAAATTTATGCATCTGTCTCAATGTTTATGTAAAATCCAGAAATGAGTTCCATGAGGAAAAGCTATCCTCAAGTCTAAATTATATTGAAACAACTTAAGCACCCGTTGGGAGCTAAAATTATGCATAGTCGACCTTGTTATTTCCGTGAACAGAATTATTCGTGTATACCTTCGTGATTGGCTACGGTGATGCGCTAAATTACCAAGTCGAGATAAGGCTTTTAGTCACTGAAAAATTCAAAGAAATGACAGTTGTTCTGCGGCCTAGAAAATAACAAATACACCGGGATGAGCACTGGAAGACTGACTTTGATTGATGGTGTCGACGCTTTACTTACTCACATGGCTTGTGTGTGGGTGAGACTTGACATGATTCATTTGACATCTTCTGTATAAAGGCACACAATAAATGCTTGCTTCCAGACTACTCTCAATTTAAGTAAGAGTTTGCTCGCTACCCATTTAAATTACTGTAAAATGCAAACTAAAGCCGTTCACTGACACTCAACTGACGATCTGGTTGTCTAAGTTAGCCCTAATTTCCCCCCATGTAAAATTACCAAAATTTATTCTCATTAACATTATTTATTTTGTTTTATTTTCTTGTCTAACAGTCAACTAGTGCGTTCGCTTTGCCAAGTGGTATGGCTCAGTGTCTTCCATTGTCACATAATTTGAAAAGCCTCTCTTCAAATTCACCTTTTCGACAGAAAGAAATTATCTACACAAAGTACCATGCGCATAAACCTGCGGTAATGCGAAAAAAAATGCTCCTGCCTGATCAGCTATTGCCAGTTATTTGTACGATGTAAACCATTGGAAAGAGTGGAGGTTTAAATAACCGGAAGTTTTAAAACTCGACTAAGCAAATGCAAGCAAGTTGTAGGATGTTTTAAAAGGTTCGTGTAGTGGTCATTCATCGCAGGGTAGCCGGTTTACGAAGCCAAATATGTTAAGGCATACCCAAAGTGAGTTCATTGCCATCTATTTAAGTGAACTGGTACTTTAGGGGTAGCAACCCAAAAAAACCAATGTGAAGGAATTTCTAAACAGGTGTTTTGTCTGGTTGCAACAGTCATCAGTATTGTTTTCCTGAGGGTAAGAACGCCATTAAGATAATGAGCTTACGTGTGTCAGTGAATAATGTGAACATTTTATGGTAAGAAGTATGCCTTCCTGCAGTTAGGCTGATTGATTTACGATTAACAGTACTCCATGTGTCATTCGTAATGCTTGTTGCCTCATTTACCTAATCCTTTCCTGCCTATGTTTTGTCTCTGCAGGCAGGCAGCAATAAATAGGCATTGGGTAGGTAAACTGCACGAAGAAAAGTAAAAACGCCTGCGATAATTTGTGGTTGGAATAATTGCAAACATCAAATGCAATTAAATTCGCACCTTTAATTGAATACCAGCATTTTGCTACAACTTAACAAATACCAAAACCATGCTGCCATATGTATTTATAAGCATCTGTCAATAAAAATTGCTCTAAATCCTGAACGTTTGAGCTAAACTTTTGTATAAGGTGTAATGACTAATTAATAGTGTACGACAAAAAACCAGGAATCTTTAGTTATTCCCTTTCAGCCATAGAATTTGTTGCATAACATTTTTTTGGTGCAATTTAGTGGGCTTTAAACATGGGTAGATGATAGGTACACTTTTTACATGAGAAGTGGATATGAAGTTGGGACAGCTTTGGCGCCCTGTATACTTTCGTACTTGGAAAAAGTCGAGGCAGTAGTATTAGCAGCACATACTGCATACTGACAAAGAATATGCAAAAAACCAGCTGAAATGGTCTAAAGGAAGATAAAAGAGTGGATACACACACTACTGAGAACCTTAAGTTGACCCATTTGCACTAACTTAACATATCCACATTTGTTCTAATGAAAACTCGACTAATAAGCATTAATAAAAATGTAACCTTTTAAAAACAAAAAACTTCCCTTTTATTATTAATTATTTAAAAGGGTGGCTTGCATAAAAGAGATCTTTGCATGTGCGAAAATTAATCCTGGGGAAACTCATGCAGGATGGGGCAAACAGAGTTAACTGTGTAGGTGCAAAAGACTACTTTAAGTTTGTATATGTGTAAATGTTGCAAATTTTTTTGATGGGACAGGTTTTAGGTTAAACAGGTTTCAACACATTCTTATCGCTAGCAAAATGTTTTATGATTGAATTCGTTTCGCGTCAAGGTGAAAGACCTTGGGCAATGTAAACAAACCCTTGCATACAATTTACTTAAACACAGTTTTTAATTCATGTATTTTTGAAAAGTGCATTTCTGCAATTATAGGTGCCAATTTATATGCAGTCACGCTTATTCCATCGTTAGGCGAACAAGGATTAGGAAAGGTGGTTTGGTCAAACACTTCAGCTTGATCAAAATGGTACACTGCAGAGTGAAATCACAATTAATGAAACACAAGTACACCCATGTTTAAACGCAAGGCAGAGAAAGAAGGAGGTATGTCGCTTTACGTGCCTCAAAACCATACCGCTTCTTCAAACAGTTAAAACTGGAATCTGTGACATTTTAAACTGCTTTTGCTGCATTTATTGATATCTTACTGGTGGTGAACTAGTTTTTTTTTACTATGTGATTTGATAATTACAACTGCTTTCATACCTTCCGGGGTTTATAGGTAATGCATGGAATCATTCGCGTTTTACACATGTGGAATTCGGGGAGACAGTTAAATCCCAAAAAGCACAAATTTCTCGACCACCTCATATGCACGTATCGGTATGACAATCTTTTTTAGAAAAAAAGACTACCTGCTTTATTTTTTTTCTGGTTGGTCACCTTTTCGCAAATATTACTTAAGGAAATTGATTTGGACTCACTCTGAACCCATCTTTTGCACTAATTTATGAAACAGTGAACAAGAATATCTATGTTGTGGTTAGTAAGACTGATTTTATCCAGAAGCCATATAGTATAAGTTGTACACCAACGAAGATGTGCGAAAATGGTTAACCTGAAATGGTGAATAGCTCCTACCGCATAATGGGATTCGTTTGGCACAAAAGACAAAGATATTAAGAGAGATTGGTCGGCCTTTTCTCCCCGTCTTCTGTTTACCCATCTGACATTTAAAATCAATGCAGGCAGAAGTCCCGTCAGTTGGAAATGACAATAATTTCGGGCGACGGGTTGTAGTGAGAACGTGGTTGGTGAGTCTTCTCCATAAGCTGAAGCGATCAGTGCCATACGTTAATTCAGGAACAGCATTGGAAGGATCCATTTGCAGAGCATTGAAGGGATGTGATGTGGGTGAGCAGCAGTGGAGTTGCGACTTGGTTTCATGGGCGTGGGCTCTACTTGAATAGCAGAAGGAGCCCCTAAACAGAGCATTCAACAGAAAAAGGCTCCATTGGCGATGCCTACTTGCCAAGATCACGCGTATGTGACAGGGGACTCAGTGAAAACTTGTTTATGTGCATTTCATGACCAAACTTTTCAATGCTGCATATTTACTCTACACTTGGTGCATGAATCCTTTTTTTATTTCATGCTGATTTTGTTACCTTTATTGCTAGGTCCTGGTATTGATGAATCAGCCACATTTTGCTGCGTATTTTGGCCGATGCAAATGATTCCATGTTTTTTTAGGGCTAGGTTTAACCCGCGGTATCTGCTGCTCTACAAGCGAGGACATTAGAGTGACATCTACACCCCAAAACAACACGAATGGCGTTGTCACCTCATATACATCTGGTGATGCAGCAGCTGTATTTTGAAGAGAAAAACCAGTCAGCTTTGTTATTACTTTTGTTATGAGTCGCCTATTCTTAAAATTTACCCAAGAAAATCGAGGTGGAGCCTCTTTGAACTCCTTAATTACCTATATGTACGAAAAACGAAATTTTGAAGTTCCGCTTGTGTTTTGCCCAGAAGTTATGCAGTTCGGGCAGCATAAGAAACGCCTCCGACTTCTCACAGCCGCCCTTAACCTGTGAAGTTTTGCCACAACTTATAGTTATTTTGAGAGAAATGGGCTGTTTGATTCACCTGATCCGCAATTCTAATGCCTTAGTGCTCCATTCCTGGCGAATCATTCTTTACCACGGATGACTCGGTAAGCTTCCCAGTGCTACTAGGCTTATCAATCCCTCTGACACTCTGGTGCCCTTGATTCACTGCAGCAGCAAAGGCACAATTCTCCCTGATTTTACCTGCAAATCTTTTATCCGAAAGAAAAATAAAAGGCACTTATTTTCCTATTTCTTTGTGTCGAATAGAGGTGCATTGGCCACTAGTCTTGCTAAGGGGAATCACAGTGATTACAACATCTGGCTATTTCAATGACCGTGTTACTAGATTCCCCCTCCCCCTTCCCACATACCCAATCGCAGCTTCATGGCAGCCAAACGTCAGTTTGGAAGTGAATAACTTGCCTCAATGTCTGTGCACAACTTTGGCGAAAAATCCTTTTAACTTAGCACAAACTAATCAACTAACCTTATTAACTAAACAGCAGAGACTTTCTTCTCTCGAACGTCAGGCGCTCCTTGCAATCCCATATCCCTCACCTCGCAGAAGATTTAAATGGCCAAACGACTGGCCAAATAACCAACAAACAAATACATAATCACATATGATGCAGGTTAAATCCAAATTGTCTACGCAGACCGGTCTGCCTGAATCTGGCAGCTAACTGAACAAAATAGCTCGTTGCACTTCTGCAGTAAGTCAGTAGGGTGAAAGGAAATGCCACACACTGGCATGACATCACCCAACACAGCACCCATTATCGTTGCACGTTAAACAAACTCCAAGATAGAAACACGACTACCTCAATGACCACTCGTCAAGCGTAAAATTCTCCCATTTAGTACTCATGAAGGAATCGCACTTCTTTTCTCGTGCTCTGTAAGCATCTCCTTTAATGTTCTGGCTAACACATGTGGCTGCATATCCACGTGCGACAGGTGACCCCTCATCTTGCAGCACAAGTTTTACCAACACCAAGCTGACGCCAGCGCTAGAGCCTACCTGCTCAGTCGAACAATGCTTATTTTCCAATCGGGGTAAAGAAGTATTTCTCCCAAATGGCATTTCCTTATTTAATTTCTACAGCAATGGTGTACCGTAAAATGCAGTGGAATGCCAACATATGTCCCCTAAAACACTCACCACACCATTTCCCTGCATAAGACAGGTCTTTTCCGGTTAGTCCAAAGCAGATAAGCATAAATTTTGCCTTTCGAATGCAGGTTGTGCAAAAGGAGACCTCACGTATCGTCAATCAGGTCAGATTTCTGTGCGAATACGTCTCTCGTTCCTCTGCTCCCTGACCTGTAGTTAGGGGCCTGGAAACCACTTCAACAAGTTGTAATGCACCCACCAATGGGCAATGGACCCAGGCAATAGGCAATCATCATACAATGTAGAGGTACCAACTAACTTTTAAAAATTCAATTAACCACGTAATAAAACCGCATTAAAACCATTAACATATCAATTATCAGGAAACACATATTTTTTGATTTTGAAAAAAAAACTGCAAACCTAAGGATTACAAGATATCATAGCCTCCTTGAAGGGGAAGTATCAAAATGTAAAAATCCTTTTCGTATTGTACGACGTCGCGCATGTAAAATGGAGAAAATCGGAGGCGATCTACTATAAGAGGCAAGTCGCTTGCTCGTAGGGTGTCAACTATGAGGCTGCGGTTATACCACATAGCCCGACATGGGCATTCGAATAACAAATCTAAGATATGTGGGAAAAGAGAGTTACGGACCATGCCCGGCGCCATAAGAATTGAGCTGCCATTTGAGAACTGATAATTAAAACTGCAGCACTCATTGAGCAATAAATTGTAGACGCCTGGATTCACCATTAGTAGATGCGGCCGAGATGACGCAAAGAAGCTTAAACTCGCGATGCATGAACTCAAATCACTGTCGAGTATACGGGCGAATGATAGGTCAAATCCGAGTTACTTAAAACAAAACGTAAAACAGAAGTCCAAGTTCACTTTTTACCTTTTATTCAGTCTGCGTAGCTTGACGCATGTGACAATAAATGTAGAGTCAGTGTAGGGTGTGGCTCTCTCTCCTCTCCGTGAATCGGCACTTAACTGATTGGAAGCACAAGCACCCTTACGCAAGATACATGGGGAGACATTTACTTGTGGTACTCGAGTGTCGGTTATTGGCGCTCTACTTGGGACCAATAAATGCAGAGTTGCAAGTATCTTGAAACCACGTTTACAGTGAGTGTTAGGGAGTATATATTGGCTCCTTTTTTCCACTCGTCATTCAAGTCAATATTTCAAATGCTAAGTTCATTGTAGCGGTTCATTAAATTGACGCAAATAGTGAAGCTGCCTGATTCTCAACTACTGCCATATTTGCAATGGTATTTTTTCAAGACTTATCAGACATCGATGGCCACTTTAATCTATCAATGTAGGACTAGCAGTAAGCGAGGGGCAAGAGAATCCGTAACTTTGCTTTAAACTAGGAACGATTTCAGCTTTACTTCACTTCTCACTCCCGCTAAATTTATGCATCTGTCTCAATGTTTATGTAAAATCCAGAAATGAGTTCCATGAGGAAAAGCTATCCTCAAGTCTAAATTATATTGAAACAACTTAAGCACCCGTTGGGAGCTAAAATTATGCATAGTCGACCTTGTTATTTCCGTGAACAGAATTATTCGTGTATACCTTCGTGATTGGCTACGGTGATGCGCTAAATTACCAAGTCGAGATAAGGCTTTTAGTCACTGAAAAATTCAAAGAAATGACAGTTGTTCTGCGGCCTAGAAAATAACAAATACACCGGGATGAGCACTGGAAGACTGACTTTGATTGATGGTGTCGACGCTTTACTTACTCACATGGCTTGTGTGTGGGTGAGACTTGACATGATTCATTTGACATCTTCTGTATAAAGGCACACAATAAATGCTTGCTTCCAGACTACTCTCAATTTAAGTAAGAGTTTGCTCGCTACCCATTTAAATTACTGTAAAATGCAAACTAAAGCCGTTCACTGACACTCAACTGACGATCTGGTTGTCTAAGTTAGCCCTAATTTCCCCCCATGTAAAATTACCAAAATTTATTCTCATTAACATTATTTATTTTGTTTTATTTTCTTGTCTAACAGTCAACTAGTGCGTTCGCTTTGCCAAGTGGTATGGCTCAGTGTCTTCCATTGTCACATAATTTGAAAAGCCTCTCTTCAAATTCACCTTTTCGACAGAAAGAAATTATCTACACAAAGTACCATGCGCATAAACCTGCGGTAATGCGAAAAAAAATGCTCCTGCCTGATCAGCTATTGCCAGTTATTTGTACGATGTAAACCATTGGAAAGAGTGGAGGTTTAAATAACCGGAAGTTTTAAAACTCGACTAAGCAAATGCAAGCAAGTTGTAGGATGTTTTAAAAGGTTCGTGTAGTGGTCATTCATCGCAGGGTAGCCGGTTTACGAAGCCAAATATGTTAAGGCATACCCAAAGTGAGTTCATTGCCATCTATTTAAGTGAACTGGTACTTTAGGGGTAGCAACCCAAAAAAACCAATGTGAAGGAATTTCTAAACAGGTGTTTTGTCTGGTTGCAACAGTCATCAGTATTGTTTTCCTGAGGGTAAGAACGCCATTAAGATAATGAGCTTACGTGTGTCAGTGAATAATGTGAACATTTTATGGTAAGAAGTATGCCTTCCTGCAGTTAGGCTGATTGATTTACGATTAACAGTACTCCATGTGTCATTCGTAATGCTTGTTGCCTCATTTACCTAATCCTTTCCTGCCTATGTTTTGTCTCTGCAGGCAGGCAGCAATAAATAGGCATTGGGTAGGTAAACTGCACGAAGAAAAGTAAAAACGCCTGCGATAATTTGTGGTTGGAATAATTGCAAACATCAAATGCAATTAAATTCGCACCTTTAATTGAATACCAGCATTTTGCTACAACTTAACAAATACCAAAACCATGCTGCCATATGTATTTATAAGCATCTGTCAATAAAAATTGCTCTAAATCCTGAACGTTTGAGCTAAACTTTTGTATAAGGTGTAATGACTAATTAATAGTGTACGACAAAAAACCAGGAATCTTTAGTTATTCCCTTTCAGCCATAGAATTTGTTGCATAACATTTTTTTGGTGCAATTTAGTGGGCTTTAAACATGGGTAGATGATAGGTACACTTTTTACATGAGAAGTGGATATGAAGTTGGGACAGCTTTGGCGCCCTGTATACTTTCGTACTTGGAAAAAGTCGAGGCAGTAGTATTAGCAGCACATACTGCATACTGACAAAGAATATGCAAAAAACCAGCTGAAATGGTCTAAAGGAAGATAAAAGAGTGGATACACACACTACTGAGAACCTTAAGTTGACCCATTTGCACTAACTTAACATATCCACATTTGTTCTAATGAAAACTCGACTAATAAGCATTAATAAAAATGTAACCTTTTAAAAACAAAAAACTTCCCTTTTATTATTAATTATTTAAAAGGGTGGCTTGCATAAAAGAGATCTTTGCATGTGCGAAAATTAATCCTGGGGAAACTCATGCAGGATGGGGCAAACAGAGTTAACTGTGTAGGTGCAAAAGACTACTTTAAGTTTGTATATGTGTAAATGTTGCAAATTTTTTTGATGGGACAGGTTTTAGGTTAAACAGGTTTCAACACATTCTTATCGCTAGCAAAATGTTTTATGATTGAATTCGTTTCGCGTCAAGGTGAAAGACCTTGGGCAATGTAAACAAACCCTTGCATACAATTTACTTAAACACAGTTTTTAATTCATGTATTTTTGAAAAGTGCATTTCTGCAATTATAGGTGCCAATTTATATGCAGTCACGCTTATTCCATCGTTAGGCGAACAAGGATTAGGAAAGGTGGTTTGGTCAAACACTTCAGCTTGATCAAAATGGTACACTGCAGAGTGAAATCACAATTAATGAAACACAAGTACACCCATGTTTAAACGCAAGGCAGAGAAAGAAGGAGGTATGTCGCTTTACGTGCCTCAAAACCATACCGCTTCTTCAAACAGTTAAAACTGGAATCTGTGACATTTTAAACTGCTTTTGCTGCATTTATTGATATCTTACTGGTGGTGAACTAGTTTTTTTTTACTATGTGATTTGATAATTACAACTGCTTTCATACCTTCCGGGGTTTATAGGTAATGCATGGAATCATTCGCGTTTTACACATGTGGAATTCGGGGAGACAGTTAAATCCCAAAAAGCACAAATTTCTCGACCACCTCATATGCACGTATCGGTATGACAATCTTTTTTAGAAAAAAAGACTACCTGCTTTATTTTTTTTCTGGTTGGTCACCTTTTCGCAAATATTACTTAAGGAAATTGATTTGGACTCACTCTGAACCCATCTTTTGCACTAATTTATGAAACAGTGAACAAGAATATCTATGTTGTGGTTAGTAAGACTGATTTTATCCAGAAGCCATATAGTATAAGTTGTACACCAACGAAGATGTGCGAAAATGGTTAACCTGAAATGGTGAATAGCTCCTACCGCATAATGGGATTCGTTTGGCACAAAAGACAAAGATATTAAGAGAGATTGGTCGGCCTTTTCTCCCCGTCTTCTGTTTACCCATCTGACATTTAAAATCAATGCAGGCAGAAGTCCCGTCAGTTGGAAATGACAATAATTTCGGGCGACGGGTTGTAGTGAGAACGTGGTTGGTGAGTCTTCTCCATAAGCTGAAGCGATCAGTGCCATACGTTAATTCAGGAACAGCATTGGAAGGATCCATTTGCAGAGCATTGAAGGGATGTGATGTGGGTGAGCAGCAGTGGAGTTGCGACTTGGTTTCATGGGCGTGGGCTCTACTTGAATAGCAGAAGGAGCCCCTAAACAGAGCATTCAACAGAAAAAGGCTCCATTGGCGATGCCTACTTGCCAAGATCACGCGTATGTGACAGGGGACTCAGTGAAAACTTGTTTATGTGCATTTCATGACCAAACTTTTCAATGCTGCATATTTACTCTACACTTGGTGCATGAATCCTTTTTTTATTTCATGCTGATTTTGTTACCTTTATTGCTAGGTCCTGGTATTGATGAATCAGCCACATTTTGCTGCGTATTTTGGCCGATGCAAATGATTCCATGTTTTTTTAGGGCTAGGTTTAACCCGCGGTATCTGCTGCTCTACAAGCGAGGACATTAGAGTGACATCTACACCCCAAAACAACACGAATGGCGTTGTCACCTCATATACATCTGGTGATGCAGCAGCTGTATTTTGAAGAGAAAAACCAGTCAGCTTTGTTATTACTTTTGT